AAAATGACATACAAGGCCAAAATTTGAGGAAATTTTATTTGTTATTTTGAGAGAGGATCTGGCCAGGGCTGGTCTCAAGCTCCTGGGCTCAAGCCATCCTCCTGCCTCAGCCTCTTGAGTCCTGGGACCATAGGCATGTGCCACCGTTTCTGGCTTTGATGGAATGAATACGCATCCATTACAATCATGGTTATGAAGTCGCTTAGGCATCTACAGAAACATTTATAATTTTAAGTAAAGTTCCACATGTGTTGTTGTTATAAGTGAGTGAAATTGCATCTTCCTATAGGCGGAAAAAGGGTGGAAGGTCAGTCTAGAGTCACACAGCTTCTAGAAGGAGAACGGGGTCTGAGCCTTACTGCAGTCTCTGCCAATGTTCCCATTGCACTTGAGAATAAATAATAACAAGGAAGGATAAAGACCCGGATCCACCTGGTAGAACATACTGACCATGTAGGGAAAGGCTGGAACCTCCAGTCAGGCAGGAGTTGCCCCTTCGCCTGGCCCAGGTTCACCTCTTGATGGGAATCCCGGCAGCCCAAACCCTGATTCCAAACTTAGGTCATTCTGAATTCCCTCATTCCCTCCCCCTGCTCTTCTCCTTTCTCCACCCCTGCCCCGGGGCCCCAAAGCCTTCCATTCACTGAAGCTCACTGAATATTGACCTGGGTCTGGCCACCATTTCTTGAGCCACCTTGACGAACGAGGATCCAACCACCTTGTCAAACTCAGATGCACAGCCCCTTGGAACAGGCCTTGGCGGGGCAGAGTTACCTGTGCTCTCCCCAGCCCTCACCGCCATCCACACTGGCAAGGACATGCTCAGTGGGGCTGGGCAGAGCTCTCGGAGCTGCTGAGCAGTACAGATGGCCTCTTCCCCAGCCCCTGGCCTGGGAAGTGTTTGATGTGATTTTTTCTTTTAGCTTTTATGGCGGGGTGTCATGCAGTGTGGTCTCACCGGGAGGCCTGGGGTCTGGTCCTGCTGTCAGTCACTGACGGGTGTGCCGCCAGACCTTGGGTGAAATGAATGGCTGTGGAGACCTAGAGGTCCTAAGGTGGTGCAGGGCCGTGAGGGCAGGACTATGAGCTATGGCTCCCTTAATGTAAACAGAAACCGGTCCTTGATCCTGCTGGTAGATTGGGCTGCGGGACTCCACACCCTCTTGGCGCCTACTCACTTCCTCCAACACTAACTCCAGCCCCCAAGTGGCACCCAGCCCTCTTGGAGTGCAGCTGGCCCAGCTGTTCTGCTGCAGGTGCCCTGGGGATTCGTGTGACGCTCATCCCACCACCCCAGCTCCTCTCCCTTGTCACGGCCCTCTCGCCTCTTCAAGGCCCAGCTGCAGTGTCGCCCCAAAGCTGCTCTGATCTTCCACTCTCATCTTCACACTCCACAGTTATGGTCTGTGCTGTGCCCTGTGAGCTCCATGTATTTCCATATAAGCCCGTCTGTCTTCCATATAAGCTGTGTCTTACCCCTGGAGTACTCTTGGTAGGGAGGCTTACCTGAGGCCTGGGTTCAAATCCCAACCCTGCCACTTACCAGTGTGGAGCCTGAAAACAAGTTCTTGTTGCTCTGGGCCTCAGTTTTCTCATCTTCACAAATGAGTTTTAGCAAGGATCAGGACACCTGTGTCTGGTTTGTGTAACAGTCGTTAATGTCTATTGCCTTTCACCTCTTTGCCTCTTTACCTTTACATTGCACCCCCCCCTTGTCTGAAGCTTTGCTTTCCATAGTTTCAGTCACCCACTGTCAACATCTATCTGAAAATATCAAATAGAAAGTTCCAGAAATAAACAATTACTAAGATATAAATTACACTTCCCAGTGGTATGATAAAATCTCAGACTGTCCTGCTCTATCTCACCTGGCCTACCCAGGGTGTCCACCTTGTATATGCTGCCAGCCCATTAGTAACTCAATAGCTGTCTCTGTTACCAGATCAACTGTCACAGTATCAAATGCTTGTGTTCAAGGAACCTTATGTACTTAATAATGGAACCAAAGCCTAATTGTGATGTAGAGGGGGGACCAGGGCATAAAACATGGCAGGACAGACTGACTCTAATGTTGTGTGGCAATGCTGCAGGGCATATAGGGAAAAAAGAATATATAGAATGTGATTTGGCGTTTTCTGTAGTTTCAACCATTTGCTGGACATTTGAAGCATAGCCCCAAAAATAAGGGAGCCTAGGGGATTCTGTGTGTGTATGTGTTATTTTAAGCATTTTATCAAAATGGAATATATATGTATATATATGAGGTTTATGCACATATACTGAAAGTTTACATTTTTTTCCCAAAGTGATATATGTATGTACCTGGCTTCAGATTCAAATAGTAGCAAAGGGTTCAGAATTAAAAGCAGCTGCCCCTGTATCACCCCTTTCCTCCCACTAGAATTTCCCACTGCATACTTCAAAATCACACACTTTTACTACAGAAAATCAGAAAGTGCAGTCAAGCAAAAGAAAACCAAGTAGAACATATCAAATCCAACTTTTCATTTGAGAATGTCTTCTTCCAGGTAGTGTAACCACATGGTTTTTTCCAAGTAAGTCCTTATTGTATTTTTTCCTGTGCATTATAGCTCTAATTGTAGTCTGCCTTTAACGAAGGGAACAAAAGTGATGTTTGTTGAGTGAAAAGGGACAGTGAGTTGCTCTTGCTACCCCAGCTATGGTCCAGAGCCCAGCGGCTGGGGCACTACCCACAAAAGCTAACAACATGCAACAACTTCGCCCTTCCCCGATCCACATCTTGCAAGGGCTGTGGTGATTGGACTGCCCACTAACACTGCTAAGGGTCTTGTAGATCAGAGCTACTCAAAGTTGCAACCCACAAACTGTTTAGTACAGTCCTGGCCAAGAGGTTTGAGCCAGTTTAAACAGCACGCTGCTTCCTTTATAGGGAAAGAGTTGCTGCAAAACACGGTCAGCTGAACTAAACAATGTGATTGATGAGGTGGGTGATTTACATTCTGGCCCAAGCTCCTTATCTTGTAAGGGACCAGGGATGCACAGTTTGTGGGCTTGGCATCCTTGGCCGCCCACACTTGGAGCCGCAAAGATCACACAGTGGGGAAGTGGGGGCTGGGACTGAGTTGCTCTGGCTTTAGATCCTGGCCTCTTCCACCTAATTGTGATGTGCAGGCACATGCATACACACAACAGACACATGTTAGTACACACATGCGCTCAGGCATGCACACACACACAGAGAGCCTGGTCCAGAGTTGGCAATTGAGAAACACTTGCATCTGACTTAGACGAAGCTCCCCTTGTCCTGTGTGTTCATACGAGGCCTCTGTTTACATTGAAAGCATTTCCCATGGGGGTTAGCATCTCTTTATCAACTCCTGTCAGGGCCAAACTTGCAGGGCCTCTGGAGTCCAGAGAGGCAGACCCCCAAAAGCTGATGGACTTGGAAGGAGACAGAGAACAACTGCTTTGATCAGTGCAAGTTGCCAAGGCAAAATGTGCTCTCAGATCCCAGCATCCACATTTTATCCGGTATCTACAAACTCTAGGCCCAGCATCTGCCTGTGCTAATGGGCAGGTGAATAACACATCAGCCACTGGGAAGGCGTGGATTAGCAGAGTCAGAGCTGGGCTGGGCTAAAACGCTCTGTGACATGCAGTCCAGCCTCAGTGTCACCTTTCCCAAGGAGCCCAGGAAGTCCCGTAGATCTAGACCCCAGGGTTTGTTTGTACTCAGAACCTTCATGCGGCACATCTTAGCTTAAAATTTTTGAGTTTTCAGGACACTCTTCTCTGGCTGTGTGACCTTAGAGAAGTTCATCTCTCTGAATGTCAGTTTCCTCATCTGTAAAATGGGACATGACAATATTGACTTCACAAGGATATTGTCAGGGCCAGTGCCAATGACTGCAAAGTAACTAGCACTGGCTCATTCACTCGTTCATTTGTTCATTCATTCCTTCACTCATGTGCTCATTGTGTCTGTACTAAGCACTCTCTGGGCACTGGTAATGGGACTTCAGGGATGCTCTGAAGCTCACAGATCAGCAGGGAAGATGGAGACAGTTAAAGAGCCACATGAATGCTAACCAAGCAAGCTGCTTGCTCTTGTAGGTGCTACAAAAAAAGTGTCAGAAGAGGGCTGGGGGCCGGGGATTTAGCTCAGTGGTTCTGCCGCCTGCCCCGCAAGTACAAGGACTCGAGTTCAATCCCTGGTACCAAAAAAAAAAAAGAAGAAGAAGAAGAGGGCTGGTGGTGGAGCTCAGCAGCAGCACACTTGCCTAGCATTCATGAGGCTCTGGGTTCAATCCCCAGCACAGCAGAAACAAACAAAGCAACAAAAAACAGTACCAGAAGCCTGTACCGGGCCCCTGTCTAACCCTGGGATGGAGACTGTTTCACTGAACAAATAATTTTGAGCTCAGATCCTAAAGATGGTAGCTTATGAGGCAAAGCAGGGAAAGGTGTTCCAGAGACACTGAGGGTTACACATCATATGTTCCACAAGAGAAGTTTGGCCAGAGAGTGGGACTGGGGTTTATTTTACTTTTGGAAGTAAAATTGACATGTAGCAAAACACATAAACCAACTAGATATGCTTTGACACGTAACCTACGTTCCTATTAATATACAGACTATCGCTGCCAGATTGGCTCTGTCTCAATAACTTTTCCTATTTGTTATAGAAGTTAGGGAGCTGAGTTCTAGAGGACACTTCATTGTGGCACTTGGGGTCAGCTAGGGGTTTTGGCTGGGTTTAAATTCAGTCTCAACCACTTTCTACCCAGGTCCCCCTCTGTAAAAGAGGGGAAATTAAGCCTACTTCACTGGGATGTTTAAGGGATTGAACTTGCAAATGGCTGGAAATGCATTGTAGGCATTCTAGGGAATTCCCCCTTTTTGGAGTTTCCAGAGGGAAGGGGTGGTAGGGCGAGGTTTGCTCTTGCTGATGGCCTTGAGGTGGGGTTGAGCCTCCCCGAGGCAGCAGTGACGCCCTGACCCCTTGTCTCTCTCCACAGGGATGTGTCTGCAGGCGTTCGTTGAAGCCTTCTTCTTCCTGGCCCAGAGGAAGTTCAAGATGCTGCCACTCCATGAGCAGGTGGCCTCGCTGATCGACCTGTGCGAATATCACCTGTCCCTGCTGGATGATAAACGCCTGGTGTGTGGCCGGAGCGGCACAGTGGGGGGCCGGTCCCCCCACAGCCTCTCCCACCAGGACACCTGCCCCCCACCCCGCACGTACGGTGCTGACAAGTTATCCCATCCCAGACCCACTCTCTCCTGAAGGCCACTCTGTCCTCCCAGAAGACAGTGCCCTTCAGGGCCGAGGACAGCCCTGGGCTTCTGCCTGTGGAGGGATGGCAGGCAGGCTGCCAGGATCCCCGGCTTTGGCTCCCGTCATTCATTGCCTCTGTGTTCTGCTGAGCTCCTGCTTCGCAAGGCTGATTCCTGCCGCCTTCCTCCTGGCACCTCTCGGTGACACACCCTGTTTGCCAGTCATCAGTGGACAGATGACATCTGAAATGTGACAGATGGCATCTTCTATTCTGAGCTCACAGGAAGCACCAACTGGGGCAAATCTGTTGTATTTGGGGTGGGAAGGCACAAACAATCCCCAAACCAAGTGCTATGGAGAGGAAGCTGAGCCCTAGATCTGCTGGGGCCGCTGAGAGCTGCTGGTTAAATCCAACCAGCATCATGCCCCCGCCCCCCGCCATGAGGTGGAAATATCAAGTAGGCAGATGCAACCCCCCCCCCCCGCATCATGTACTACACAGGTGTAGTTAACAGATTAGCCTCATTTACTTCATTAGCTCACCTGTTGCTGCAATGTTTGGTTTGTTACTAATTAAGAAATAATTAAGGTGTAACTAAGACTCCTGCAGTCTGAGAGCTGCCAGGAGCCTCAGAGTCAATTTGTTTGATTTTGTTTGACCTTGACCCCAAAGCAAGGATCCCATCTTCAGCCTATCTATGGTCCAGGCTGTCCTGTGGCTTTGAGTGGACCTCTGCAAGTGTGGGGCTCCAGCCAAATGGTCAGGGCTCCCCATGTGCCCAGCACTGTGCTGGGAGCCCTGGGGGAGGGGAGATGGCTTCAGAGAGGACTCGAGGCCCGGATAAGAACCGGGGTAACCAGAAGTGTGCGTGTAGAAAGTATGGGGGCCTGGGCCAGAGCAACTGGTGCTCCCCAGGGGTGCTCTGTGAGAGGCAGTGTGGAGACCCCGAGCCTGCAGAACACAAGGATTTCACCATGAAAGGCCCCAAGGGATGCACCAGGAGATTCGCCACCAGCTGGGCACTGCAGAGTCTTTCCAACAGCTCTCACCGCTTCTTGAAGTGGCTGTGCAGAAAGTGCTTGCTTGCCAAAATGGAGCACCGTCTTCAGGCCTGAACCCCAACCTGGCACACTGGACAGGGGAGCAGGGAGGATCAAGAGGTTGGATTCCAGCCCCATTGTTTGGAGTGACACAAAAATGTCCTCACTCAGGGCGAGCGATGTCCTCCCCACCCCGTGCCTGTCATCTGGAGGCAGGTCACTGTCAGTTACGGGCCCCTCTGTCCTGGAACAAGCCCCCTTTCCTATGGACAGGGCCCCGGGGGAGCCTCACACCCTGGAGGACACAGCCTCCGCACTGATTATCAGAGATGTGAGGCTGCTGCAGTCTCAAGAGCAGCCTGTCAGTGACAAGTTGGGCCCCAGTTCCCCAGTCCTGCTGGTCAGGAAGAATTTTGAGGCCTCTCCGGTGTCAGATCGAGCATCAGAAGACTCCTCCCACCCCCTCAGTCCCCATGGGAAGTCCCATTGTGTTTGTCCCCCTTGGTAACCAGCCGCTTATTTGCAGGGTGGGATTGAAATGAGAGCAAAAGCAGGTGGTTCCTTCTTCCTGGCAGAGGGGAGGCAGAGCCAGGGAGCCTGGCCTGGCTCAGAGGCCCCTCCGTGTTAGGACTCAGAGTCCCTGTGGTTGACTGTGAAATGAGCCCATCCTTTGGGAGTTCCCTTAGGATCCATCCCAGCCCTTCTTCCCCCAACCCTTGCCTGCCCTTTTTCCCCTTCCTGCTGATGCCAACGCTGACCCTTGAATTGGCCCACTGGCTGAGTTCCTGGAGGGCCAGGCCCTCCCAAGGTGTTGGAAAGAATGTATAAGAAGATCAGGCTCGGCTGGGGCTCTATCTGTGGTGTGTGCCCCAAGTGTGATAAGTCAGTGGGCAACCCCAGGAAGGCAGCTCGTTCTGGAGAACAGGCTGATCAACCCAACTGGGCCCGGCACACCCTTTTTTGTGTGCCACTCTGGCCCCTCCGGTGAGTGCAGACAGCTTCCTCATGCCTCACACTGCCCTTGCCTGCTGCCTTCCTCCAGCCCCCCGGGGGACTGGGCTCGCCTTTTCTGCTCTTCCAGGGGGAATATTGTCCCCACTGGCCTGGCCAGAGAGAGCCTGCAGTGGGTGCTACAGAAAAGCACTGGGTCCAGGGCAGCTGGTAGCCAGTGTGGGTCACAACAGGACTCTCCCCATGGGAAGAGGCAGGGCCTCCTAGAGACCAAGTCTCCACTGCCAAGCCGGCCTCCTTGCCTCCTCTGGTTTCTCCTCCAGAGCTCTGTCCACGCTTCCCAGCTCAGACTCATCATCTCTGACCTGGATTCCACAGTGTCCCCGCCTCTCAGCTCTGCCACCCACTCTGACCCCCGCCATCCGTGTCAGCCAGGAGGGAACTGGAGAGCCCTGGAATGGACACAACAAAGGCTGCCCTCGGCTGGGCCCTCATAATCAACTCCCTCTCTTTCCACACCTGGATCCCACCCTCCCTGGGCCTGTCTCCAGCAAGGCTCCCTGGGCTCTTTGTATCTGTCATCGGACAGGAAGAGAATGTGCCATTTCCTGCCCATGGGGAGGCTACCAGCAGGGACCTGCTCTGTGACCTCCACCCCCTGTCCTTGCTGCTCCCTCTGGACAACGGCAGACTACACCTCTCTCAAGGTCTGGCTCAGGTGCCTGCTGCAGCCCCAGCACAGAATGAACGACTCCCTCCATAGAGACTTCCTTTCTCCCTGTGCTTCCCGGTGGGGCCACAGCATTTGCTCCTGCCCAGGTGTGACTTCCCTCAGGGCCAGGGCCATGTTGGATCCGTGTAACCCCAAAGCACAGAGCAGGGGCGGAGGGTGCTTACTGAGATCATGAGGTGTTGCGCAGTCCCGGTGAAGGGACGACGTCACCACACCCTCTCCCCGGAGTCTGCAGATGCCCTTGAGGACCATCTACTCTAGTCCTTGCCAAACCAGTTCTCCAGGCACCTCTAGATCCCAGCCTGGCTCATTCTCTCTCCAAGCACAGTGGCCATCCATTGGCCACCCACCCCACCCCACCCCAGTGACAATGGCTTTTCTAACACTAGGAACCTCTCCCTGACCAAACTGCAGGTGCCCGGGCTCAGGTCTTGGCCGTGTCCCCCAGGGAACTCCCTCTCTGTCAGCCCTGGAGACTGAGGAGGACCCCCCACCCCGACCCCCATCCCCGCTGATGGTTCCCACACTACTCCTCAGTGGGACATGCAGCCTGTCCCTCACACTCTACATCAGCTGTGGCTGTGTCCGGTGCCTCACTCGGAGAAGGTCGTCCTGCTGTGGCCATGTATAGTTGGGAATGGCACTGGATGAGGCTGGGAAGGAATCGACATTCCTAGAACGAATCCCCTTAGAACCCATGCCCAGTGCTTCACGGGTTACGAAGCACTTTTAAGTTTGTCTTCTCATCTTGGTCCTCCCATTCACCCACTGAAGGCCGAGGTTGATCATCACTGTCTTTTCTGATGCCCAGGAGGTTATACAGCTTGTCCTAGGTGTCTTGGCTGGTGAAGGGCAGAGCCAGGGTTTACACAGAGAGGCCCCTGGCTCCAGACCCCGCTCCTCTTTCCTTGGCACCATGTGGATCTTGGCCCCATTCTCCAGACAGTGGTCCTGGGGACTGCTTTTCTCCCACTCTAAGGTGTTGGGAGCACTCCAGGAAGGCTCTGCAGACTACGGAGACTGTAAGGGCTCCCGTCCCGGGGTGATTTCTTCCTTCAGTTAACCTTAGGAACAGTAGGCGAGACCACCAGAAGCATAATAAATATGCAAGTGTTTTGTAAACCAAAGTACTTCTGGGTTGTAATGTTACCTTCAGAGGAGGTTCTGGTGTCCTGCGAAGTGTAAAGGGACGAAGGTAAAGCTCTCTTGAATAATGTTGTCTGCCAAGACAAATGAAGCCAAAGTGATCAGCTCCTCTCCCTCCCCTGCTCCTTTTCATCTTCACTTATTTAAAGACATTCGCAGGCTGAAAAATGGTCCCTGCCCGCTCCTCCAACGTCCGGAATTTGCCTTGTGATTGGCAGTGTTACTCCAAAATAGCTTGATTTTTTTTCTTTCATTTCTTGATTAATGTCCTGTGCGCCTCGGCCCTATAATTGAAAACTGGGCTTGCAACATTCAGCATTCAAGCGCCTTCTCTTGGAAGCTCAGAAATAATAGACTCTCCCATCGGGGACCTGGTGCTCCCAGTGGCTGAGGGACCTGTTCCTGCTCAGCAAGGGGACTCACCACAGTGCATGCTAACCTAAAATCCACCTTACCTCGGTGATATTTTTGCCAGTCTCCTATTTGGTTTGATGAATGCAAGATAGATGTTTCCACATGGCATATGAATTTCTCCCTCACATAGTAAGTCAAATCTTTTGTTTCTGTTTTTATTTTGTTTTGTTTCTGTTCCAGGACACAAAGGAGCTCTTCAGAATAGTCAACATATTCAATTGCCTTCATCTCTTGTAACTCAAAGTCTTGATTTTTATATAACTTAGAAAAACCATGCAGCATAATGCATATACTTAACCGCAAGCGCTTGCACTGAACACCACGAAGCATTGGTATAAGATGGTAAAATCACAAGATGTTTTCCTCATTTCTGATGATTTGCTTCTGAGTCAGATTCAGAGAGCAGAGGAAGAAGGCTCTTTGCAGCCCTGGGGTAGCACAACCTGCTCACCAGGAGGCTCCTGGGAAACACTGCCTCTAACTTAAGGAAGGCGTTCTCTCAGATTCCGACCAGGACAGATTCCAAGCAGGACTGCAGTCCTGGGCTACAGGACCCTGCTCCTCACTGCAGCTCCCTTGGGCCTGGCCCATGCTGTGGGGACATTTCCCCTTCAGAATATCTTACATCAGAATGGGGAATCCCAGAAGAGATCTGAGCTGCTCTGGAAAGACCCAGCCAGGGCTTTGAAATCAGACAGACATGGGTCTGGATTTTGCTCTAAGTGACCATGGGCCAGTGATTTCTCTTACCCCTATTCCTCGCCTATGCAGTGAAAATCTCGTCAAATGGATGCAAAGAGCCTGGCGAGGGGCTTGGCACCTGGGGGGTATCTTTAAAACTGTCTGTTCAGAGAAGGCACTGTCTCCATATGCTGAAACTGTCACATGCCAAGGAACACTGATGCCACCTCGTCAGCCCTGGCAGAGGCTCCAGGAGGTCTGGTGAGACCCCCACAGGCCCCAGCCTTTCCCCCTCTGTGCCCAGCATCACCTTTAAGAAGCTGCAGCTCCTGCCTCGTAAAAGCCTTTAAAAATTCTTTATTAAATTTTCATGGCGCATGAAGTCAAGGTTCTGTTACTTGGCCTCAGTTGTCTTGGTAACTTCTTAAAATGCAATAATAAAACAAAGCTGAGCATTGCTAACCACAGGCTCATTGTATAACGGGCTGCCGAGTATTGACAGTTTCTTCTGCGTGATAATTTTTGACAGCAAATCCACCGGGGTGGGCAATGTTCATTCACTGTGGGTCAATTGGTAGGAAAAGGGCACCTTTTAATTTTTTTTCCCCTTGCAGTTAATGTCTGCTTTCGGAAGCTAATTATTGCCTCCAGGAAACTCTGAGATCCTAGGGGAGGCAGAGGGGGGAGTTGGGGGATCTTCTAACCTGGGGACTGTCTCTTCTAGGAAGGAGGGCCCTGTCCCTAGAGTTCAGCCACTTGGCAGAGACTCTGTAGCAGGGACGCCTGCGCTGGGAGAAGGGTCAGCTCTGTGGGCCAGCACTAGCCCTCAGCCATGTGCTTGGAGCAGGTGTGCAGGGCGAGTCCCAGGTGTTCCCGGGGAGCAGGGCTCGTCCCCAGAGAGCAGAACTGCCGAAGCCGCATCAAAGAAGCCATTCCTGGCATTGCTGGCACACCTGGTCCTGTGGCTCTGCCCCTGGGGACAGAGGCCCTCACCATCTCCCAGCTCCGCCTCCCCCTAGACCCTGGGGGAGCGACATATGTTCACTCTGAATATTTCCCAGACTCTCGACCACCCGGTGGAAAGTGGAAAGCAGATGGCCTTGAGTTAAAAATAAAGTAAGACCCCAGCTCCCTGGAAATCTCCCCCTCCCCCTCCCCTAAGAGGCATGAGAGAAGTATTCACTTCACACAGCCCCTCTGCTGAGAGGGGAGCCACTTAGGCAGGCTGTGACTGCTGCCGACTGCTCAGGTCCTAGGCCCCCTCAGGGTTGCTATTTTACAAAACGATCAGATTCTATACCTGCTTCATGTTCCCAGTGTGTGCCAGCCTCTTGGTTCTAGGCTTCTGTGTCACAGATCATGGTCCTGCAGTGCCACAGAGTTGTCACCCGCTGTGGGCTGTCACCCCAGCCAGATTTGCCCACCAGATGCCTGAAGCCAAGCAGGCAGGTGGCTATGGCACCCTGTGAAGTTACCCCTGCCCTGGCCCTCTGCCTTCAGCCAGGCATCATTTTGGGGGACTGAGTGGGGACTGTGGAGTCCAGAGGGGCATCCCTCTCTCCCACCTTCCTCCCAGGATCCCTGGACTCAGGCCCACCTCTGTCTTTAACCCAAGCAGCTACAGCTTTACCTCCCATACAAGCAGCTTTGTTACAATGTTCTATCCATGGCCACTGCAGTCCAACCTTTCAATTCTATGAATGAGCCAAGGCTCAGAGGAGGAGGCATCTTGCCCCTTTGCCCAGCAAGTTAGGGCCATGAGTTAAGCCTCTGCAGTGAGGGTATTTTGCTCTGACTGGTCAGAGAAATGGAGCGGAAGCCAGCAGCAGCCCTCAGCCCATGGCTATATGTAGTATCCACCATAAAAAAAGCCCAGAGAGCTCTAGCGAGCAGAGCGGTTCACAGCTGGAGCCAGGGAACCTTGTTCCTCAGCTGTTATTTGTTTTGTGTATCTGGGGTTGCACGCAAGGTTATCATTGTCCTTCCAGTGTTTAACCGTGGGGTAAATTCCAGTACATTTTATATTCCAGCCATTGTACAGAGCTGGGGGGAGGGCAGGAGAAGTAACTCACCCAATGCAACTGCAAGAGCATCTTCTCTCAGGCACCTGAGCCCAGCTGTGACCCCTGGCACTGCCCTAGCCATGGTGACACCTGGAAGACATGTGCATATGCTGACTATGGCAAGCAATTGACTACTGGGCTGGCCCACCCTGGGGCCCAAGGAAAGAGCTGGGTTGCTGTCTTAGTCTACTGAAGCTATTATAACAAAGTATCATAAACCTGGGGGCTTATAAACAATAGAAATTTATTTCTCCCGGTTCTGAAGGCTGCATGTCCAAGGTCAGGGTGCCAGCATTGTCTGGGAGGGTACTCTTCTAGGTTGTACACTGCTAAGCCTCTCTCTGTGTCCTTCCTTGAAAGAAAGAAGGTGATAGAACTCTAGGGTCCCTTTTATAAGAGTGCTAATCCCATTTGTAAGGGCTCTACCCTCACGCCCTAGTTATCTCCCAAACCTCCTGATAGCATCATACTGAAGGTGAGGATCTCATCAAATAAATTTGGGGAGAACATAAGCATTCAGTCCACTGCAACTGGCTTCCCCCCACCCCTGGTAGAATGGCGTTGAGGACTCTCGGAGGCCAGCTGAGCGCCTCTCTTTGGCTGTAATCAGCAGACTCTTGACACCTGAGACGTGATCTGGTGCAGCACTCGAGTCGGTATCTCCTCTCTCCTCACTGAAATGCATCTGCCTTGAGCCATTTCCAGAGCCAGTGGCTGTTGGCCACAGTGGGTCAGTGGGTTTATCTCTAGCTGTGCTAGGAAAATCAGCCCCTTGAGGACAGGTCAGAAACCTGAGGATGCAGCCCAAAGAGGCCAGCTGAAGGACCCGCTTAGGTGAAGCCTTGTGTTTTAGCTTTAAAAGTCCTGTAAGTACTGAGATAACAAATAAACTCCCACGTCTCAGCAGCTTTACCCAGCAGTGATTTCTTTTTGCTCATGCAGAGTCTGCCGTGGGTGAAGTGGTCCTCCAGGACGAGCCCCTCCACTCAGCTCCAGCTGCCACTCCATGGTGGCCTCCTGTCGCCTCAGGATGACAGGTGTGTTGTTCAGGGCGTGGCCAACTCTACCTCCAGCCGTGTGACCGTGGCCAGAACCTTTTTGCATGGCACAACCCCATATGCTGGGGACCGCTCTCCTGTCCCCCAAGAAGAGAGGGCAAAATGGGACTTGGGGAACACAGTGTTACTCTTTTTGCCGCAAGATATATTTGCCATGAAAATATGTTTTAATATACACACACTTTTCTCTTCCCTAAATCTTCAAGTACAATGGCTGCTCCAAGAAAATGACCATGTTGATCTCACAACCACGGAGAGCACCCCACGCCTACACACAGCCACCTCTGGGGCAATTCTGGGGCTTCCCAAGGGTCCCAGCATCCCCTGCCCCACCTCCTTACAGGCGAGAGTAGGGCACCTGCGGGAAGTGGTGAACAGGCCACACCTGAACAGAAAGACACACAGAATCCTACCCTGGGACCCTCGCTCACCTCCCAAGGGGTAGGCCCGCCCACCTACTCATCACAGGAAACGCTCGCCACAGCCAGGACAGTGGCCTCTCGGTGCAAAGTGGCTTGGTCCAGGACCCCTATGGACACCAAACTCCAAGGATGCTCAAGACCATTATATACCACGGTGGAGTATTGGGATATGACTTAAATTATTTCTAGATGTAAGTGCTATGGAAAAGGTAGTTCAACTGTAGTGTTTAGAGAATAATGAAGAAAAAAAATCATACTTGTTCTGTATAGATGCTTTTTTTTGGTGCTTTATTGGTGCTTTTTGCTTTTGTTTTGAGATAGTGTGTCTCCGGGTAGTTCAGACTGTGGTACTCCTGCTTCAGTCTCCTAGGTTCTGGAATTACTGAGTGCGCCAACACATCTATCTAGACACAATTACTTTTGCAAATTTTTCTTTTCTTTTTCTTTTTTACATAGTACTGAGGATTGAACCCAGGACCTTGGCACTGAACTACATCCCAAGTCTATTTTTATTTTTTATTTTGAGACAGGAAGGGTCTTGCTAAGTGGCTAAGTGGCCCTGGTTCCACTCACATTTATGATTCTCCTGCCTCAGCCTTCGAGAGTGCTAGGATTGCAAATGTGTGCCACAATGCTTGGCTTTTGCAAATACTTCTGACCCTCCATTGGTTGAATCCTCAGATGTGGAACCTTGTGGATATGGAAGCCAATGGTACCATCTTATCACCGCAGTCTATAGTAAAGAAACTGAGGCTCAAAGCTGAGATGAAGTCGTGTGTCCGAAGCAGCACCCTGTAAATGCCACTCCTGGTCTTGCATTCTGACCTCTGGAGCCCGCACTCCAAACTGCTGTTCTGTGCTGACCCTTGAGCCTCAGGGGGGATCTGTCAAAGTGGGGTGAGGCCTGGAGGATGAGGGGCAGGAGTTCTCAGGGGAGGCCCTGGCATGGTGACATGTCACCACCTGTGTCTAATGAGCCCTGGAGCCTAATAAGGTTGTTGAGGAGATGCCACCAGCTTCCTGGAGGTCACCATGCACCCTGAAGGGCTGCACAGCAGGGAGGTTTTGGGTAATTCCAAAGAAACTTGGTGCTTTCATAACTGAGGCCTCTGGCCTGAATGTGCTAGGCTGTGGGGGCGGGGAGGCCACTGAGGAAAAGCGTGACTATGTGTTTGTCCTGGGCACCAGAGTCACCCACTCCTCATGGCAAGGTGGTGGCATTGCTCTGCTTTTACGGTTGAGGAACCTGAGGTCCAGAGAGCAGGCTCCTGGCTGGAGGTCACAGACAGCTGCCCTTGCCCTGCCATCCGGCCAGCCCTGAAGCTCTGGGCCTGGCAGGTGCAGAGCTCCGTGGAACAGCAGAAGGAAACAGCTCCACATCTGTGCAGGTCGGAAAGTCCCCTGCCTCCAACCCCCAGGGCCACCCATGTAGAGGGAGACAGCATCCAGAGTCAGGAGCATCTGCCCCCAACCCCTATGGCCAAGAAAGAGGCCGCCCATCCACGGGGCTGCGGCTTCAGTTCAGGGTCCTGAAATGCCACCCCTGATTAGTTTTCCCTCTGTGCTCACAGGCTGTGTGTGAAATGATGTCTGACAGGGGGCACGGGACGAAAGTTTCACTAAAGAGAGTCTCAGGAATAGAGGCGAGAGCACTTGGCTTCAGGACACTCAAAAAATGTTCATCTCCTCCCATATTCTTTTGATGAAATATGGATGAATGTTATATGTGTCACATTGATTTCCATTTAAAAAGCTTTTAAACCAGCATGGTGGCCCAAGCCTGTAATCCCAGCACTAGGGAAGGCTGAGGCAGGGGGATCACAGTTCCTGGGCAATTTAGTGACTCAATGAGAACTTGTCTCAAAATAAAAAATTTTTTAAAGACCTGAGCATGAAGTGCCTGAGTTCAATCCCCTATAACAGAGAGAGAGAGAGAG